TCTCTCCCCACAGCTGCCAGGACCCCCTGAAACCAGACCACCCCTACTCTCCCCCCCTCAGCAGCTGCCAAGGGGTTGGCCATGCTGAGACCACATCTGGCCCGGCTCTCTCCCTCCGGCCGTCATGGGGTTGGGCGGAAGCCGTGTTGGATTCTGCTCTCCCTTCCAAAGCCACCCCGCCCTTGGCTCTTCACCTCACCCCCAGCCACCGGGGAGGATCCAAAGCCACTCCAGCTCTTTCCTTCCTGCCCAGAGGCCGAAGCCCCTTTAGTTCTGCTTCTTTCCCCCACCTCCGGCTGCCAGGAACGGTGGCTGAAGACTGGCCAGGCCTCCAGCACCAAGGGTGAATGCCTCACGGCTCCTTCACCCCACACACAAGGGAGAAGAGCATGCAGCTCCTAGCCCCCCTTCCTTCCCCTGTGAGGGTGGAGGCCTTGTGGCTCCTGGACCTCCTCCCCCGCAAGGGGGAAAGGGGCACAGCACCCGAACCCCCCTGCAAGGGGGGAGGGGACATGGCTCCTGCCCCCTCCCCAGACCACTGGGGGAGATGCATGGCTGCCCCCCAGGCTCCCTACCCCAGAGCGCAAAGATGATCAGGGAAACTGCGTGGTTGTTGCCTGCCCCAGCACCAGAGCCGTCAGCACCGGTGAGGGAGGGAGGGAGGAGACAGGGTGGCTGAGAGGGATGGGGCTGCAGGACACAGAGGGTATGTCTACACTACAGCGCTAATTCGAACTAACTTAGTTCGAATTCGTTAATTCGAACTAAGCTAATTCGAACTAGCGCAGCTAGACCTAAAAACTAGTTCGAATTAGCGTTTTGCTAATTCGAACTAGCGCGTCCACACTGATTGGACGCCGGGGGGCATTTAAGGGCGGCTGAAACCAGTTCTGGCAGGGCATCAGGTCAGTAGTTGCGTTGTGTGGCTGCTGTCTGAGGCTATCTGAGGCTCGTGCTTAAAGGGACCCCCCCGGACAGCCGGTTCTCAGCTTTTCCGCTT